TGTATTTGGGGGGAGGGAGAAATCGGGTAAAATCCCAAACTACCATCGTTTAAAAAAATTTATAAAACTATCACCCAACCCATAAAATTTCAAAAGTACCACTATTAATATAAAACCGCACCAAGAAGCAGCGGTTCTCCTACAAACCGCATTGGGAAGAGGCGGTTCTTGCTAGGGCAGCCGGAAAAGCGCTTCTCCACGTGGCAGTCCATGCAACCCTGAAATTGGGAGGCGATCCGACAACTAACCGTGCTGCCAGCGGAGTGATCCGCGTCTCGTCTCCTCTAACCGTTTCCCGAGGGTGCGTTTTACACTTCGGGAAGGAAAACCGTTTGCGGGGGGGGGGGGGGGGGGGGCACGGTTTTCAGTGTAGGAAAATTATCATCCCCCCTACCAGCGGTTCATACCCTATAAATACCTCCTTCCTCTCATTTTCTTTACACCAAACCCAATCTCCTCTCTCTCTTTCTCTCTCTCTCTCTCTCTAAATTTATCACTCTACCCATCCCCTCTCCACCCAAATTTTTTAGAAATAGTGGTGTGTTCGTTGCGGTTAAGTCCGATATGCCATAAAAAACTTTTCTTTGGTTTTTCATTCAAAACCGTCGAATCCCTGTCCGGTTCCTAAAAAATGGCCGATATTTACGAAGAGGAGGGTATTTACTATGATGACTATCAAGCGGTACATACTCATTTTACCTAAATTTTGTTGTTGTTGTAATGATTTTACTTATTCTATATGCTAATTGATTTATGTTTTTGTTATGCTATCGTAGGTTGGGGAGGATGTTGATATCTACAATAAAAAATATTATGTTGATCAAGGACTGACTAATCCGACTGTGTTATACGACCAAATCGTCGTTCAAGAGATGTTTGGAATGACTACAAGGTACATATTATTTATCATCACTTGTCATTTTTATTTTGTTAACGTAATTTAGTGGTTTGTAAAATAAATTTATTAATTGTTAGTCGTATTGATTATTTTCAATAATTCAAATCAACACAATGTGTCAATTAATTAGACTATTTATAAAGAGATGCATGCCTAAGGAATAGTCTTAAGTGATCATCATGATCCTCCCATTTCCTAAGAAAATCGGGTTTAAGCGATCCTCAGATCCCCTTTTCTCTCAAAAATGTTGTGTTTCTAAGGAGATGTATACCTCTCCTAAGAGTCTTACGAGTGTACTTGTATTGCTTTAAATTATTGAAAACAATCAATACGAAGTACAAAATAATATATTTGATTTTATGTGTATGCGTACAAAATTAATTTTATTTAAATTTTGAAAATGGTATTCATTTTAGTTAATTATTTTAGTACGCTTAATATGTTTGTTTTTTAAATTATGTATATTTCTTGGAAAAAACCTTCATTTTGTTAATTGATATTGTTTTTTATAATATATTTATATATATAAATCATAAACTTATAGTGAAAGTTAAATTATTTGCTAGGATGCATACCATAAAGTCCGCTATAGGGGTATGACAAATGTGCTCCCATGGAACGACGTCATCTTGCCCTTTCTAAGAAGGGCAAGATTGGATCCCATTAGACACTTTAATGGGATAAAGATCGACCGCCAACTCATCATGACATTGGTGGAGAGATGGGGAAAGGAGACACATTGCTTCAACTTTTGTGCCATCCATGCAGGTAACCTCAGTACACATTTGATGGAGCTCTTCAAGCATCGCTCTTGTGGCGACCTTCATTTTTTGAAAATTGTCACCGACGTAACGTACCTGACTCGCACAGAACTACACCACAAATTAATCCCGAGTTTTTGAAAATTGTCACCGACGTAACGTACCTGACTCGCACAGAACTCGCACAGAACTACACCACAAATTAGAGCCCAAGTTTTTAAACTCCAGTCGGTTGCAGTAAAGAGCAAGTATTTAAATTGTCAACCTGGGCCAGTCCATGTACCCCTACTTCAATCGCTTAGGTTGTTATCTAGCAAGCAATTTTAGGGCTTAGGTTTATTGGAACTACAAACTAACCAAGCAAAGAAAAGTAAATAAAGGAAAAGTCTAACTAAGGGAGCTTCACCCCAGGAGTTGCTTCCCCGTAACTAGCTATCATGACTCGTTGGATTGAATGAAGTCGTGTGGCGTAGGCGGTTGTGAAACGCGGGGGTGAGCAACTAGTGATCAATCTGTCACGGAATCAATTCACTAGCGATCGATTTGTCATGGGATCAATCCACTCACCAAGTCTAGGGGAACCGCTAGGAGGAGCAACTAGTGATCTATTTGTCACGGGATGGATTCGCTAGAGATCAATTTGTCACAGGATCGATCCTCTCACTCAGGCTCTAGTGGTTGCCTAGGTCTCTCACTCAAGCCGGAGTTTGAGCGGCTTAATCACAGCCAACCTAGATGAAAACTGGTAACCGCGAACCGCAGAGGGATGCAAATATGGTCGTAGACCACAATCTCGATTGCTAAACCGAGGTAAACATTATAGGCCGTGTCACTCGGCCCTCTCGATTTAGGCAATCGGTGGTGACTTACTCCCTCACTCAACTCAAGATTTGACGGCATAATCACGCTTAACCAATTTGCTTAATTCAACATTGAGGTTTGCCCTAAATTAACCTAGGTTAAAGTGGATAATTAGATTTCTAAGCACCAAAACGCACAAACCTAAGGATGCTAAGCACAAAACATGCACAACCCTTAGATTGCTAAGCACAAGCATGCACAATCAACATGAATAATACCTCAATCATTGAATTAAACAATACCCAATGACAATCATTCAATCTAAACAAGTAATTACAAAGTATTAGTTAGGGATCTACAACACCCAAGAGAAAAGAATGAGATTCTAGAGAGAGAGAGGGATTACAAATTTGAGCTCAAGATCTTCTTCTTCTTCTTTTTTTTCTTCTTCTTCTAGGCTTGAATCTCCACCCAAGCCTCCAATGATGCCCCAAGATCACTCTAGCACTCTCTCTCACTAGAACTCCACTTTGGTGTTTTAGGTTGAAACCCTAGAGAAAGAAAGTGTTTCTTCTCCCAAAAACCAGCTCCTATCTCTCTCTCCCCGCTGCGGTCTTCATATTTGCCCGAAAGTGATTAGTTCACGGACGCGTTTGCCAGTTCACGGCCGTGAACACCTAAATGCGTCCGTGAACTCAGTCGCCTCCAAAACGCATCGCGTTGCTTCCTGGGTTCACGGTCAATGGCCACAGTTCACGGTCTTAGAGACAGTGAACTGCCTTGTCGTCAGTAACTTCAGGAACCTCGCTGGACGCCTCGGTGTTCACACTTTGTGGTCGAAGTTCACGGTCTTAGGAGAACGTGAACTGCCTTGTCCGGCCGTGAACTGCGGTTGTTTCCTGTGACACCTTCACTTCACTGTTACGAGGCAATTGTCACGGAACTTCGGACTTTTCTTCGGTTCTTGCACTTTTTGACCTCCAATTATCCCAAAACTCGACCTCGACCCTTCCACACGTGTTAGGACCTGAAATGTATAAAAACAAGCACAACCTAGCATGAAATATGTCGAGGAACGATGAAATACTAAGCTAAACGAATAAGAAATGAGGGGGTAAAATGTATACATTTGAGCCCGAATCAGTACCCCCTTCCGGTCTCTTATATGTAACCATTCCACCGTAACCCAGCTTGAACTTTTGGAATGCCATCTGCAATAAAACCGTAATTAAGTTATTACCATAAAAATCACAAATCACAATAAAAAGTAATACAAAACAAACTTACGAATTAACGTTAATCGTAAAAATTCAAAAAATGAGATGCACAACTCAAATTTGAAGTAGAAGAAGGAGAGGAGTGAAGATTTGAGTTTTTCGGGGCTGCCTTTTATAGGCAAAATTGACACTAAAACCGCAGGGGGGAGCGATTTTAGTCTGCCATGCAGCCCCCACCCCTGCAACCTACTGCATGTCGACGTGTCGAATGTAGGAGAATGGGGACGAGGCACAAACCGCTGGGTGGGGTTGCGGTTTGTGCCTTGACATCATAAATCGTTTCATTGAGGAGCGGTTTCCATTGCCGACGCTAAACCGCACCCCAAGCAAGCGGTTTGTGCTAGGGCAGCCATGAGAGCCGCTGCCTCGAATAGCATTTTGCCCAAATAAAGAAAACTGTTGCCTTAACATGCAGTTCACTTTAAAACCGCCTGTTCCATGCGCGGTTTGAAGGAAAACTGCCCATTCGAGGTGCGGTTTTTGAATAATGATGGTACTTTTGGAATTCTTTTGGGTTTGGTGGTAGTTTTGTAATATTTTTTTAAAATGATGGTAGTTTTGGATTTTCCACCGAGAAATCCTTCATTCTTTTATTGACTTCTTTTAATTTTCTAGCTAGCGCTTTCCAAGTTCGTGTTCTGTTATTGGTAATTGTTTTTTCGGGTTAATGCCACATTTGGTCACTGTGATTACTAAATTGTGTCATGTTTAGTCACTAGAAAAAATTAATATCAAATTTAGTCACTGTAATTACTGAAACAGGTCACATTTAGTCACTCTCCGTTAGTCTCCATCCAACTCCGTTAATGGAGTCCGTTATGTGCTGATGTGCCTAACGGAAACGCCTAGTCAGCACCATTTTGGACCGAAAATGGTCAAACCCGACCCGCCACATCACTAAACCCGCCATGTAATACACCCAACTCAACCCATTAACCCAACTCGACCCAGAACCAAACCCTAACTCACTTAATAAAATAAAATTTGAAAATCGATCAGTCAGTCGCCATTTCAGACCAAAACCCTTTCTCGAGAAAGTTCCAAAAACCAGTTTTCCGGGAGAACAAACAGATCTCGAATAGCACCAACAGCAATAGAGCTTTTTTCTTCCCTTCTTATTTCCGGTAATGCAAACACGCACACAGATACATCTCACGTAACCACCACATCACAATTCCTTCCCCATTACCTTAATATACAATCGCATCATCCGAACACGAAAAGCCAGAGAAATCCAGGGAGATAGATCGAGATTCGAGCATGCTAGCTCACGTCACCTTCTTGAACGACGTGAGCCTCTTCACAGCGCCGGGCTGCACCCAGACGATCGCCTCGTACTTGGACAACCCGTTGGCGTCTACAGCGTCGGAGACCGTCAGCTCCAGCTTTTAGTTCTTCCCGCGGACGACCTGGTACGCGCCGGACTCCACCCTCACCAGCTTCAGCTTCTCCCCCTCCTTCTCGTTGTGCTGCTTGACGGCGAACTTCGTGGCATCCGTCACTTCCGGATCCTTGAGGCCCTCGGGTCGATCGGGCGCCACCTGTCGAGCGGCGCGGCGGCGGTGGCGAGCGCAGTGAGGAGGAGGATCGCGAGGATGTGAGTGGCTTCGCGATTTAGGGATTCCGGGTTTCGACGAATTTGGGGATTTTTTTTGGTGGGGGAATTGATTCGAGAAAGTAGCGGAGCTTGGTGAGGGAGGAGAAAGGGTTTTGGTCTGAAATGGCCACTAACCGATCGATTTTCCAATTTTGTTTTGTTAAGTGGGCTAGGGTTTGATTCTGGGTCGAGTTAGGTTAATGGGTTGGGTTGGGTGTATGACGTGGCGGGTTTAGTGACGTGGCGGATCAGGTTTGACCATTTTCAGTCCAAAATGGTGTTGACTAGGCGTTTCCGTTAGCCACGTCAGCACATAACGGACTCCATTAACGGAGTTGGATGGAGACTAACGGAGAGTGACTAAATGTGACCTGTTTCAGTAATTACAGTGACTAAATTTGATATTAATTTTTTCTAGTGACTAAACATGACACAATTTAGTAATCACAGTGACCAAATGTGTCATTAACCCTTGTTTTTTCTCTTACAGCGCGATTGGTAATTGTTAGTATGATAGATTGGACATTTATAATTATAGATTCGAATATTGAAAATAAACGATAAGTGGTTGCAAATTGAATAGTTATACTTGTATTTGGGCAGCATCATTTGTGTTTGTGGGGCTTTTCTTTTAACGAGCGGCTTGTACCTTTACTTTACCCTTACCTTCTTGGTCGGGTTAAATTTTGAAACGAGACAAATTAAAGAGTTTCATGAGTCAAAAAGATGAATGTACCCATAAAAAAAAGCAAATACAATATATTAGCCATAACTATTAAGCAGCGGGGAATTATAGCCACAACTATCGAAATACAAATTATTAGCCAATCGTTAAGTTTTCATTAACACTTCTGTTAGTAATGATGACTAAGCTTTTACGATGGTGAGCTGGCTCCCACGTGGCAGTTTTCATATCATATTTTTTACGATGCTGACATGGCCTTCTACGTTAAAAATTTGAAAAGAGTAATGGGCTGTTAGCCAAATCTTGACCCACAACAATAGTTATGGCTAATAATTTGTATTTCGATAGTTGTGGCTATAATTCCCCACTACTTAATAGTTATGGATAATATATTGTATTTACCCTAAAAAAAAGATGAATGTATGAGAGATTCATTGATTAACATGTGCAAGTACTGTACTTCTCATTGATTTTGGAACTTAGAAGTAATTATATCCAATCCAGCTAATACAAAAGTTTCCCTCAAAGCAGTATAAATTGCAGTTTGCTCCTACCGTACTATGTACATAGATCTACGAATCAAACTTTTCCATGTTTTCGCAGAAAAACTTTTCTTATACGCTATAGCTTCTTGTTTGCAGCTAGCTACTCATATGTAGGAAAGGTGACATTTGAAGATGGGCGGCGGTAGAAGTCGATAAATGAAAGTATGTATGTGGTCCGAAGATTTGAACATTGAATGGTGTACCGAACACTCATAAGGTGTCCAAAACATAATTACGTATTTTATTATTCCGTTTGAAATTCGCACCATTTTTTTTTACAAGAATCTATTAGTTAGAGATGTTATTAGAAGACTCGAAATTTGCACCATACATTTATGTTTTACGAGAATTTGTTTGTTGGAGATGCTACCAGAAGGTTGGGAAAAAGGGCAACGAGCATGGTCCTTGGAATTCAAATTTGGGGGCTACGTGTTGAAAATCAGGGGCACAATCACTCGAGCACGACTTTGTTGGCAAACATTAATATTAACCCTAAGATTAAAGTTGACGCTCAATTGAAAATCGAACTAAACCAAACTAACTATTTTCAAAATTTGAATAATATAGGGATTTCAAAAAGTTCTAGCCATCAAATAAAAATAATCTAACCAAAATAATATTTTAGGGGTCGTTTGGAGGCAACATTTGGATGATTTATTTCAGTTGAAAACTTGAAATATCTCGTTTGATGGCTTGTGATATTTTGGAGCCGCGACTATTGAAATGCTGCATAATGAGACAATTGAAATATCTCCTTCCCTATAGACATTTCAATTAACTCATTCTTTCTTTCTTTAAATGGTGAGATATCACAACATGTCGCATGCCAACACCATACATCATTTGAATTTAAATGACCACAAAACCAAAATGATGTATCCAAGTTACCCGTTAACAGTGGCGGAGCTAAGAGGGACTATAACCCCCTTCAAATTTGAAATATTGATAACATTACATATAGTTTTTGTACAAATTTAAAAATTATAATAATTGATAAATTTTTATTCATCCTCTCCCAAATTACCACAATTCAAATCAGCCCCACTCATTTAAATTTCTTATTCCACCACGCCAAAATATAAAGACAATAACCCAAACCATTTCTCAAATATGAGGGGGAAATGGGAGAAAAGTAAACACACCCTAATGCCTAATTCACCTTCCCGAAAACATAAAAAAAAAAATCCTTTGTTTCCGAGCATCACTTTCACGAGCTCGGAAAAACATCAGAGTCCGTCCACACTCCATAGTGCTAACCATGGAGCCCACCACTCCACTAAAGTCCCCCTATAAATAATTGGCTGCTTAAAACCTTTTTCTCCACTATCACCGGTCACCAATCCAAAAGCACCTTTTCCCCCTTTCACCATTTGCTCCGGTAGGCATTTCACCGGCCGAACGCAAAAAAAATGGCATCCTCTGCTCTCAACTTCGTCGCCGTCAACCCAAAGCTCCAACAATCCCCGAAACCCACTCCACCCTTCCACAGATTCACCACCGCCAGAAGATTCCCCTCCTCCCTCCGCCCAATCAAAGCCTCCATATTCGACAAATCCCCACTCTCCTCCATCCCAGGTTTGACCAAACCGGCCCCGTCATCGTCCCCCGAAACCAATCTCCCAATCCGACAGATTCCAGGCGACTACGGCCTCCCTGGAGTCGGACCCATACAAGACCGCCTCGATTACTTCTACAACCAAGGCCGCAACGAGTTCTTCAAATCCCGAATGCAGAAGTACCAGTCAACGGTCTACCGAGTCAACATGCCCCCTGGCCCTTTCATCTCCACCAACCCTCGCGTCATCGTCCTCCTCGACGGGAAGAGCTTCCCCGTCCTCTTCGATTTGTCCAAAGTCGAGAAGAAGGATCTCTTCACTGGAACCTACATGCCCTCCACGGATCTCACCGGAGGGTACCGAATCTTGTCCTACCTCGACCCCTCCGAATCCAATCACGCCAAGCTCAAGCAGCTGCTCTTCCATTTGATCAAATCCCGCCGCGAATTCGTGATCCCCGAGTTCAATTCGGCCTTCACCGAGCTTTTCGAGGTGCTGGAGTACGATATCGCGACGAAAGGGAAAGCAGAGTTCGCCGACCCGAACGAGCAGGCCGCTTTCAATTTCCTCTCGCGCGCCTTCTTCGGCGTGAGGCCGATCGACACCGCGTTGGGGAAGGACGCGCCGACGCTGATCTCGAAGTGGGTCCTGTTCAATCTCGCCCCGATCCTCTCCGTCGGGCTGCCGAAGGAGGTCGAGGAAGCCACGCTCCACTCCGTCCGCCTCCCGCCCACGCTCGTACAGAAGGATTACAACCGCCTCTACGAGTTCTTCTCCTCCGCCGCGGGAACGTTCCTCGACGAGGCAGAGAAATCAGGGATCTCGAGGGAGGAAGCCTGCCACAACATCTTGTTCGCGATCTGCTTCAACTCATGGGGCGGGTTCAAGATCTTGTTCCCGAGCTTGATGAAGTGGATCGGGCGGGCGGGCATGGAGGTCCACACCCGACTCGCCCGGGAGATCCGGACCGCTACCGCCGCCGCCGGCGGCGGAATCACGATGGCGGCGATGGAGAAGATGCCGCTGATGAAATCCGTGGTGTACGAAACGCTGCGTATCGATCCGCCGGTGTCGCTGCAGTACGGGAAGGCGAAGAAGGATTTCGTGCTGGAGAGCCACGACGCGGCGTACGAGGTGAAGGAAGGGGAGATGCTGTTCGGGTACCAACCGTTTGCTACTAAGGACCCGAAGATTTTTGACCGACCCGAGGAGTTTGTACCCGACCGGTTTGTTGGGGAGGGAGAGGAGCTGCTTTCGCACGTGATGTGGTCGAACGGGCCGGAGACGGAGCGTGCCAGCGTGGCGAACAAGCAGTGCGCCGGGAAGGATTTTGTGGTCATGGTGGCGAGGTTGTTTGTCGTGGAGCTGTTTAGGAGGTACGATTCGTTTGATATCGAGGTCGGAACGTCGCCGTTGGGGGCGAAGATCACGTTGACTTCGTTGAAGAAGGCGACTTTCTGAGTTTCTGGCGGTGTTTTTTTTTACGGAAGTGCCCCCCAGTTGCCTTGTAATAATAATACGTGGGAGTGTGTGGGGCTGTGGGCAGAATTGTAATATTATGGAGTTGGGAAGTTTTTTTATTGGGGTTTTGGTAATAACTAATATCACTCCGTCTTTATTGGCAAGCTTGGGCTAGTAAACTGTGATTGGAAAAAAATGTCAACGCAATCGAACCATAATAAATAAAGATTAAGTTGCATATGATTCAAATGGCATTCGACTGAACCAAGCTTGACGTATTATCATATTTTAATTTTGTTTTTCTATCTAGGTTAACAACCGTTATGTTATAATTTTATACCTAAGACAAACAATTATCAATACTATTTGTTGAAAATTTAAAATTATGACGAATCGGGGATGTCTGCGACAATGGATTGGTAATTGAGGTGTCTAGTGTCTACTTAATATGTGAATGACAAAAAAATATTTGCGTTTCAAAGAATTATTAAAATAAATTCTTCCATATATGAAACACATATGTTAAGATTAAGTGATTTACCCATTATCATTGTAAACTTGTAGCGTGAAACCTATGGCCAACATATTAAGCCATATAGTTTGTGGATCTCGAATTAAGGGTTAGTTTGGTTTTGGTGATAGTTAAATATATGCATTGTCATCAATACATGCATAATAATATACATGTATATAAAAAAAATCGTTATATTGTAGTTTGCATCGTTTGGTTTATGTAATAGTTATTGTGTTATTTA